GAAACAAGAAACACAAACCTCAGCCGTAAAATACGTTGAGCTTTCGGCAGCAACGGTGACTTGTGTCCACATTACACCGTCAAACAATAAACAATTCGCCCCCATTTATGTTGTTTAAACACTATGATTTTCTTTTTTTTATCTTCCCAAATTTGGCTAGACAGATCTTTATTGTAATCTTGGAATAAGGAATTAAAGAAAGTCTACATATATATATTTAAAGGGTTTGGTAATAGATTTTTAATGTTCATTTGTCAATGCCCTCAAGGCTTGGATCTTTGACATTTGAAATAATTGTTGTTCGAAGGATCATCACCAAGGGAGGGTTGTGAATAGTGTAGGGACGATTTGAGTAAATGACTGTGTCAGCCTGTTTATTTGTAACATGATTGCCTGGGGCGCTGCCGCAGGACAGCTATTAGAGGGTCTGGCCATAAAGAGATTGAAAGAAAAGCCCAGCGATCACCCCAAAAGTTAGCACTTAATGTGACAACTTATCAGACAAAAAGCTCCCCACGGAGAATGTGGAAATGAGAGAAAGGGAGGGAGGACGTCGTTGCCCCTGGAAAAGATTGCCGGATATTAGAACAAATAGTACAGCGAAGGAGAAGAAATTGAATCATAATCACAATTATCTGAAGCGCCTTAAGTGTCAAAGATCACATGTCTATTCAGAGTCCCAAGCCTCGCCCCATATGTTTCAGCATATTGCACAAAGCTGTCCAATCCGTGTTGGCCTGAGGGGAAGCAGGGAGCAGAGGCCTGTATTCAATAAGATGACACTAATACCTCTCGCCTGTGGCTCGGCCTGCAGTGTTAGTGGAGGGATTTTACTGCCGTCTTTAGGAGCTGCTGGATATAAAAACCTGCAGGTCCCAGTGGGGCTGAGGGGACGCATGTCACTCCTAAGAAGTAAACACAACAGGAAAAAACTGAAAGACTAGAAATAAATAGAAAGTGGGGGTAGACCAATTGAAAGAGGTAAGGGGGGCGTGTTTAAAACAAATAATGTTGTGATGTTGTATATATATATATATATATGTGTATGTGTACATGTGTATACGTGTATCCTTCTTGTTTTTTCTTTTATTTAACTATTGTTAATTTGATGTGCAGAGGGATTTATTTAGTTGTTGTATGGTTCATGTTGACATGTCATGTGTTATAAATTATATAAGGTAAATAGTTGTTTCCCTTATTTATTATTGACAGTTTTTCTAGTTGTTTTAATGAGCCTCTTTACTGTCTTCTCACAGTCTGAGGCTTCTTTGTTTTCCTCATCTGGATATACAATAAAATAAAGACAAAGCAGTGATGAAATGGAAATTGGAGCTGTTAATGTATCACTCTTTTGCAGGCAATTACATTGGTTAGCTATAACCCGGTAACAATTAGAGGAAAATCACAGGTAAAATATGATAATTCCACCAGAACAAGGACTAGAAATAAATGATTGCTAAATAAATTTTTCTTACTGGTAAACTGAGGACACTCACTTATCTGCAGAAAATGTTAATACTTGCAGTAACAATCAAAACCATGGAAGAAAACCTCCATTAAAAGACAATCACAAAAAACTATCCTCAGAAAGCTCCCAGCCTCACAGGTCTCCATGACAACTCCGGCCCGACCGAAGAATGCTTGTAATCTCTTCTGGCAGGGACGGATCCTGTGGCTCAGGCCGGCTGTGGAGTGGACAGTCCTATTGTTGCCTAAAACCTCAAAGGAGAGAGGAAAGATAGCAGCGCAGGCAGGAGGCAGAGAGAAAGGACTGGCAGGAAGAGGGTTCTGGAAGCAGGTCAATATAGTGCAGGATGGATGGATTAAGGGTTTGGAGTTGACTGTAACGAGCAGGTTGTATCTTCCTTCAATCCTCCTCATGAAGCTCACCTTTTCCCTGATGTGTGAAGAAACCCGGTGAAATCTCGCTATCTGCCTGCTGCAGTAATATTTACCAAATAGTTTATGTTTAATTGTCTGAGAACACAAAGGGGTGAGTTGGATTTTATTTTATGCGACTTCCCTTTCTGTAATTTTCCTGTTGATGATGAGCTGGAGAGGAAGAGTTTCAGTACAATGGTCGGGAGTGTGTGTTATGTCTTTGTCTGTGTGTGTGTGTGTGTGTGCGTGTGTGTGTGTGTGTGTGTGTGTGTGTGTGTGTGTGTGTGTGTGTGTGTGTGTGTGTGTGTGTGTGTGTGTGTGTGTGTGTGTGTGTGTTTGGAGGAGTCTGAAAAGAAAGGAACATGTTTTTTTAGAGATTATGCTAAACTAGTGACAGTCAGAGGAGGGGCGGAGCAGAAGGCCAGACAAAGACCGAAGAGGATGCTGCAACTGGCATTTAAATGGGCAAGAGGTTGAGCCATCGAGAAAAGAAGTGAAAGAGGAGAAAAACAGAACGAGAATGTAAGAAAGCTTTCAGTTTCTCCGCCATGAGCACACTTTTTTTTTTTTTTTCTGGCTCCTCAAACAGATGCTGAGGCAGATGGTGGTGAATTAACAGAAGATGGGAGAAGAAGAAATGAGAAAGCCTATCTCGGGCCCATGGAGGGCAGACATTAAAAGATTGTGTGTGTGTGTGGGTGTGTGTGTGTGTGTGTGTGTGTGTGTGTGTGTGTGTTTGTGTGTGTGTGTGTGTGTGCGTGTGTGTAGATAGGAGCACAGGTCCAGGGGAGAGGCTGTTAAACAGTATCTCAGCTGGGAGGACTAAAGAGGATGGGTGGAGGATTCCCAGTCAGAGATAGAGCTCGCGATAATAATCACAGGCGTGAAATTACAATGCTGATATTTGTTGCACCCCAGGGTGTGGTGTGGTGTGGTGCGGTGGGGCTACCGGAGCTTGGAGGGCCCACATATCACCGCGCTGGCTGGCAGTCATCAATGCTCAGAAGGGCGGCCCCGGGCCCACGCCTGCGCCCGCTGTCCGAATTGTTCAGTAGCTTTGCTTTACCTGTGGATAAAAAAAGGATCTAACCTCACAACACAATGTTATTTTCTTTTGACAACTTGCATCTACGGTTGTATTATCAAATAACATTTGGAATGAAAATGTTAATTGTACTAAAAATGAAGATGTGTACTGGCGGACGCACAGGCAGGTTTATTATATTTATTTGTTAAGGTGATCCCAACACTGTTTAATTCAACTCTTGGAGGTGTAAACTGATCCCCGTGGTCGCAGACACACACATGGATGGGACCACACACACCTGAGTCTTTCCCTTCGGAGCCAAATTGGGAACATTAACGTTGTACTTTTTCTAATGTAATAAAATGGAACAATTAAAAGAACTGTTGAACCATATTTTAAACCTGTTGAAAGGCAGAAATCCCAGTTACAATTATTTTTTCCAAAAAAACTAAAGAGGTATATTTTGTTCCTACAACATTAAACACAGTTATTTCCATTTGCTGAATTGCTAGAGTTCTAATACATGTGTCACATGATTCGTCCTAATATATTGTATTTGTAAGTGCATCAGAGCCTCAGATATTATTGTACAACTAATATTCTTGTCTCTACAAAAACACGATAATATAGTAGGAGGATTGAAGTCAGCTATTGGAGTTTGACATCCGTTCGACACGTGTAAACTAAAGTTGGTTATAGTCCAATTTAAATGTTGTTGAGGAAGGTGAACAAATTGTCACAGGTGACCAAACTGACCGCGTTGAGCTACGACGCCACGTTTGCAGTGTATTTCCATGAATTCTTGCCAACCTCTGGCCCCGTTTAACAGGAAGCACCGCCCCGCCTGTTCATCTTGTTTAACCTGAAATCAGAAGTAGAAAAGGTGTCTGAAGGTACTTCAGCATGAATATCCTCTTGGCTAGCAGCCAAGCTCTGACAAGATATGACACCACATTTTCCTCCATCCACTCAGTGAAGGAGGGTGAAAAAAAAAAAAGAAGAGAAGCTCATTTTCATGTCCATCATCTCTTGCTCTTGCCACTGAATCTGTAAAATGCCTCCCCCATTTCTGGGGTGAAAGTGAAAAGTAGATGTGTTGTCACGGCAAAACTGATAATGGCAGTGAGACAGAGACTGATCCCAATTGCCCTGCTTTCAGCCCCTGCCACCCCTGTGCTCCCCGCCACTAAAGGGCCCACTGACAGATGGGACGGGGCACTGTGGGACAGAGTGATGAGTTGGCATAAAAATCCCACAAAATCTGCCTTTTCCTTTCTGGCATCACAGGTCTCATCAAATACTTTGCTGTTGGGATTTTTACTGTCATTGTCTGGCCTTTTATTCAGCATGAGCATGAAATTTACAAAAAACAGAAATTTTTACATTTGAGTAAATGATGGATTTCTGAGAAGTAGAAATCAATATGTTGAAAGTGAAATGGGGGATTCAAGTTGGGAAACGCTTCATTGCTCAAGAATTTATCTTCATGCCTACATTTATGTTGTGGTCTTGGACTCCCTTTATTATCACTTTTGGTCTAGTATTCCTTCTGATTATCTCCTTATCAGCGATAGGATACACAAAGCTTGCATTCCAAACTCTGGGACCCGAGCCAGTTGAGCACAGTGCCTCTACTCTGCCCTACTGTGTTTATTTTCCGCCATTTGTAAAGTAGCCAGGCAGCCTACAATGCACGGTGGTTATCACTTCACAGGCCCATTTCATTGAGGTAATCTTCAACTCTCAGCAGCGGGACAGATAACTCAGGAATCCATCACCAGAAGGAGCAAAAAAGTGAGGGTCATTATAATGTCATCACAAGTTACCAAAGTCCCAGAGATTGAATATTGTCCTCTGGAGAGCAGACAGAGGACATGAAAGGAAGAGAGGAGGGACAGCTATAGAATGAGAAAAAGATACGTTGACAGACAGAGGAGAATACTTGGAAATAACAACATATTACAATAGCATACTTATGCAGAACCATGTTGCCCTGGAAGAGCTAATGTATAAGCTGCCTGTTAGATTTATACCAGAGAGAATATGCTGGTAAAGATGCACTTTATCTTCAGACATGAACCCCCCACCCCCTTCTGCTCTGGCACAATCCCAGCAGTGGCTGGTGGGGAATTGCTGTTTTTACATTTCTGTATTATTTTCCCATAAGGAATATGGATAGCAAATGAAATATTCAGCCCCATTGTTTGATTTATTCCTTTTATTATCCTCAAATATCAGCCCAGCAGTCAAAGGATGCCTCACCACATCCAGGGGGCCACTCGGGGCCTGACAGCCTATCAAGTCTCCTCGCATAAACAGGTCAGGATTGTGTGAGCTCTCCAATATGTTATACTTTAAGGTTTTCACCATGCACGATCACTAAACAGAAATCGAAATTTAGTGAGGATAAATTCCCAGAGGTATTGTGGCGGCTCCCTGTGCAAAAAAACTGTGCACACATCACTTGCAATGAGAAGTCAAATAAATAACATTAACACGCATAAGAGACACAGACACATAAATGATGGGACGCTGTTGCTTGTCCCTAACACGTTCGTTTTCGAATGCAGTAAAAGTTGGCGTATTGTTGGGATGTCAGTTTGCAAAGCAGGGGAGACACAGATGCCCATTACAGCGTCGTCCTAACACAATGAGCCTCATCAGATATTGGTAATTGACCATTAATGAACTCCCCGTGATGGGCCACTGAGGAATACACACGAGGACCCTGGGGACCACAGGGCAGCGAGGTAAAGGGCCTCACAGCATTAACATACTCCCAAGGCTACAAGAGGCTTTTAAATGGCCAATCAATAAAGAGCATTAGTTCATCACGCCCTCCGAGGGACCCTGGAGGTGTCCGTCGTGTGTTGAAAGGCAGCCCAAAAAGGCTGAAAAAGTGCAGTTTGAGAGCCCTTTTCTTTGTGAATGATAAATGTAAGAAACCAAACATGAACTAAATTTGTTCTTTATGCGCATTGTCTCATTCCTCAGCAAGGAAATGTACATCAATGTAGTATTTTATGAAAATTTACCAAAAATCAAGCTTTTCACCTGCGCCACCTTTTCCAAAAAGCCCATGTTAATTTTCAACATCAATGTTTGAACCCCTATTGTCAAAACAAGGACAAGGGCATCACACATATCATGTGACATTTACTGTACATATCCCACTAGATAGCTATGAATAAAGCTAGGCTTGCTCTGCAACGAGCACTTTTATTCTTAATTGTCTCATTTGTGTTATATGGCACAATGAAATGGATATCAATGCATAGAACAGCACTATCACACAAATACCACGCTGTGTCCTTGAAGGCGGCATCATAGTAAATGGTTCATCGCTGGCAACCAAATGGCAAGACAAATTTATAGCCACTGATCTCTCTCATCATCAAAGCAAAGTACTCAGTAAAATTTCATTGTAACTTCCAAGGAAATAAATAAATTTGCCCCCTGACCTTGTGCTTCACACGCATCCATCTAGGTGAGGGGGGTGTACCTCCACCACTCCCCCATCTCTTTTTCAATCACCTCAATACATCTTACCTTATTTGGCACTGTGTCCATACATAGGTAGTAGTCTAAAGATAGGTGTCCTACCTTCACGGCTTTACCTCCTGAGATTTGTGTGGCGTCTCTCTCTGTCTCGTCCGTCTCTGTTGAGACATCGGCTCCCCCGAGGAGAAAAGATGGACATAAAGTGGAGTGAGAATATAGAGAAAATAGCAGATCAAGGGGGGGGGGAAAGAGGGCGAGGGATGGAGGCGAGAAAGGGCGAGAAATGACACAAGATGAATATGCAGAAAGTCTCAGCTTAGATCAAGATAAAAGACAGAAATATAAAATAATAGAGGGGACAAACCCCTGGACGCTGGCTCGCTCTAATGGAAACACATAGCCGAGGTGTTGTCAGCAGTCTGCATGCGCACACTGACATTCCTGCCTGATAATCTGGCCTGCCATAAAATTAGAATAGCAAATACCCCACTGACAGAGATGCATGTCCTCCCTCTCTTGTGCCACCATAAAAAACTCCTGTCGGTGTCTCCGAACGCCACAAACTTCAATTTAAATTTACAACGACCGCAAAAGGAGAAGTGATATGCATTCAAAAATTTTAATAACCTATTAAGTTATGACTTCAATTTCATTTTATGAATATTTTCCTTCGGGAGCGCAGCCATCACAAGAGAAAGACAGAAATTTAAAAAAGATAAATAGTGCCATTAATCTATAACATTTATTTCCCATTATTCTTGAAAATGAGAAGTTATTTTTGCTCAGATTGTCATATAATTAGCTCCTTATACTTGACTCACAAGCCAGAAAATGACTATGTTCAAGAAATTTGAAGCCTGTCATTTGGTGGGGAATAAAATCATCATTTGTCTTAATGTATTGTCAGTCTGACAAGGAGTATTTGAAGTTGATTAGGTTTCGGTAGCTTTATTAATAACTACTGGATCAGAGGGAGGTAAGTCCTCTACGTCTGAGAGCAACACTCTGTGAGATGGAGCTGCAGCAGAGGTCAGCGAGTCTCCTTCCGCTTCGAAACATCGCCGCGCCATAAATTATCAGATGTCGTTTACAACCCGACATCGTGCTTTACTGCATAAACTGGTTTTAAGCCACAAAACTATTAAACAACTCATCACAACTCCACTTTGTAGAGGGTGAATGTGGGAGTGCAGCAGGGTATAATAGCTTTAATCTGTCTGTTGTTTGTCTCATGGGCATTAAACACCATCTTGATATGAGTGAGACTACAGTGCACACAGGAGGGGGGTCCTCATAATATTTAATAGGTCATCAAAGCGAATGGGGGGTAGACTGCTGACATTTGCCTGGATAGTTAGGAGAAACCCCAGGAGTTGTCATATGACTCATTACCAGAGCAGTCGCCTTGACAGTCGGTTGCCTCGTCGTTCAAAGAGACTATCGCAGAAAAATCATAATCCAACACATATAACTATTCAAGTCACAACGGACCCATTAACAAGCATTTTGATTCTTGTTTCCACCCTGAAAATACAGTAATCAGTTAATAAAACTCCATTACTGCCTCTGCGAAAAAGAAAGTGGATGCCATTAGTGAGAAAGTGATGCGGCGCTTCCCACCCATATATACAGTGTATATAGATGGGGTTCTATTTTGGCCCTTCAGCTCTGCAATACTGCCTCGACACCCCCTCGCCCACAACCCCTGGTCAACAATTCTAAAGTGCACCCCTCAAACCCAAAGAAGGTGAAAAGACGTCATTTGGAGAGGCAAGATTTTCCATAAAAGAAAAATATAAACCATGGAGAGACTGTGCCAGCTCCCAACCTCCTAATTACATCATCACATCATTTAACCTTGAATCTGTCTGTCAATTCATTTTTTTTACTAGTTTTGAGATTCAGTGCATGAGCACAACAGGTCATTCCTTTCAATTATATACACAAACATTTAGAAACTGACATTTAAAACTTTCAAACTTCAACTCTGAACGTTTTTCTTTGTTAAAACACAAACAAAACATGGACATTTCAAAAGCGACTTTAGCTGTCACATTCAAGTATCCTCAAACTTTGGACAACCCCCATAGCCGCGCACAGAGCAGCGCCACAGCACTTACATGCCCCTCACACATCGATTCCCCTCCCAGGGGCCCAAACCAATTTCTCTTGTTTTCAGACCCTCTCCCTGCCTGAACCTGCAGTGGCCGTCAAAGAAATCCATCCATCCGCCCAGGATGACTATGACTGATGCCACCAAATGATCCATTTGTATCCCTTTTCTCATTCTCCTCCTTTCTCTTTCTTCTCTCTGTTGTTTTCTCTTCTATTTCGCTTTCTCTCTCTTTGTCTCCTTCACTTCATTCTCTTGCTATGTTGTTGCAGAATGTGAGGCACGTGGAAGTAACAGTGCAATCACTATTTGACCTTGGAGACACTGATAATTCTTCACTTGCAAGGTTTGATTCCAAAGTCTAGTTGAACTTTGACATGCTGAGAAATCAATGTTTAGGGATCTATAGACAAAACATGTCCTTAAAACTGCAATGTGGGTTGATTCAGAGTTGCGTCAGAGTGCCCGATTAGTTCGACGGGACGCGTCTCTCCTTCATTCATTAAGCTGTAATTGGATGTGATTCTCACTCAGGAACGCAGCATCCTCAGATTCCTCCAAGGCATGCGAGGTGATGATGACAGTGTTAGAAAGAGCTGTTAATCCATCTTGTAATTGCACGGAGCAGACGGCAGGGTCGGCCGTGCCCTCTGAAAAGGCTGCAAGAGAAACATTTAGTCACCAGACGTGAACAATAGGAGGGCATTGTGTCGTTTTGGTGCGTCTGCATGTGCAACAAAAAGCTTTTGTGTATATGTTTTTTTTGTGGTAGCATGTAAAATGAAAGTGAAAGGTGGGATTTTGTACACGTGATGCCGGTCTGTGCATGTATGTTGAAGCTTATATTGTTTGTGCATGGTGGTGTGTGTGTGTGTGTGCGTGTGTGTGTGTGTGTATGGTGGGGGTCCCTTTTCCTTGCTATTCAAAGACAATTTGTAAAGCCGTCTGTTGACGCCAGGCCGAAGCCCTTGGAACAGCTGGAGCCCCTCCATGATTGATAAATGTGGCGGCGAGAACTTCATCTCCCCCTGAATGAAGACAAAGGCCCCACAACGCTCCGCCAGTGTGTTACGCCTGCCTGTCGTTAAGTGTGGGGACTGCGGACCTGCCCCGGTCCTCAGCTGGGGGAGTCGAGGTGCCAAGAGGGAGGTCAGGACCCAAACTAATTACCATTTTATGACAAAACGGTTCTTTTGTCGTCGTTATATAATTGATTTACCTTTCAAGGGGAGATCATTATGAAGTGGTTTTGGGAGACTGGGATTAAAAGGGGGCAAAAGGGGATTAGCTTCAGTTGTAAATGTTCTCAATGTCGTGAAGATGGACTGAAGCATGTATGTTTACGATCATAAACAATTGTCAGAGAGCTCCAATGAAGATAACTCATTTAAATTATGCACGTTTAAAGGATGAAAATTCATAATAAAACGTGTTATTATTTGTCACATGTGAACAAATGAAAAAAACAGAGAATAAAATCATATATGGTTAATTTATATTGAAATGGTAGAAATCACAAACCCTTGGAGTGGACTGTGCTTTAGGAAGCATTGTGCAGCCAATATGAAAATGTGAATGATTAAAAACACATCACCAGTGTGTATTAACCCTAAAGTGGACATGTTCAGAGATTTCTGCCCTAGTGTCATAAACTTTTGCTTAGTTTGTGACCCATACAGGACCAGGTCAGTTAGCCAGATCAGGGCCAGCTTTGTCAAAGTCACCATGGGGTGATAAACATTATATTTGTCTGTGATGAATCCCACTCAAGGATCTGTTTCCTGTGACTCAGCATTGTAGTGAAAAATGTGTGGTGTCATTTGGATTATTCATATTGATTTGTTTTTCCAGTACATGCATAGCCAACTTTTGAAAGAAGTTATCTGATATTTCTTGATTTGACTTGGAGAACCCAACTAATACACCGATGAAATGCATTATTGGCCTTTGTGTAAAACCCTAGTTTCAAACATTTCCTTCAGTGGAAAGAAATGCTGTTTGACAAACGTGCTCCCAACTTTCTTCCCTAGTGTCATGCGAGCGAAATGTCGCCTGGGTACATCCATCCTTGACCTATTTAATGGCTGGGTTCTGTTGAGGACCCGCTGCACAAATTGAAAAGTTTTCTGTTGCTAAGTGAAATCTATGGCTCTGCCTCCGCTGCAGCAAAATTGGGGATTGTTCTATTTTAATTCCAAACTCAATTTCAGGCATCCTCCACGCTGCAACAAAGTGGATTTCTGGCCCATCCATTGCGCTGCGCTTGTCGACATTTCAGCTGCCAGGACGCACAATGAATGAGTGAATATTGATGAACAACAAGATGAACCCGGGCCATTTTTCCCCGTTACTGCTGGCGTGGAGGTGGTGAAAAGAGGAGAGGCGCCCTCTGGACCCCCCCCCCCCCCCCCCCCCCCCCCGGGATTGAGGAACCCCTCTCCATATTCAGAACATTCCCTGTGAAGTTCAGAAAGAGATATCAATCTCACTTTAAGGCGGTGGGCCTTCATTTGTTTGTGAGAGATGCGGAGCGCTGCTCAGATGACTCCGCCGATTCTTCAAATCCCACTTACAGTAAGAGTTCACACAAACACATACAAACCATGCACAGCAGAGCATCTGCCACTTCCCTCACCCTGTGTGTCCCAGTCGTCACCATCTCCGGCGGTGGAGTCAGCACTCAAAGGTCCTGATTGAGGAAGCAGTTGCAGGTCCAGTCTGTGTTGGATAAATGGGTTTGTTCTTTCTTTGTCACATTCTTTGCAGGAAAGGCTGCGCAGACAGAGGAAGAAAGATTTGGTGTGGTTGTAAAGAATAATTTCAAATGACTTGAAAGCTGGGATTTTGTTCTCTTAATCAGGGGTCGGTAAGCCACTGATTTGGGGTTTAAAAATACATCAAAGTTGACCTACAGACTACCTGGATGCTGAATTATGTTGACATGAAAAGTTAGCCAACTATCTTCTATCTTCTATCTTCTATCTGATTTCCTGTCGGCTCGCTGCTGACCACTAATCAAAATAAAGTCATTACTATGAAAACATAAACCAAGAAAACCATTTCTTGGAAGAAACTAGTTTAAATGCAAATGATTGTTTCAAAAATGATGTTCGCCATCGAAAATACATAAATTCCATGTTCTTCCATTAGTTCTGGGTTCTTGGTCAATAAAATTGCAATAGTGTCTCACAGCTCTTTGTAATCATGTTTCGTCTTGTTGCCTGCTTGTAGGAGACGGAGGAGGTGCTCGGCCTTATTTGGAGCTCTGGTCTGATGATCCTGATCAGAGGTAAGAGAGCAATTGGAAGGGAAACACGTGTTAGATTGCCACGGTGGAACACGACACTGGTGCTGCGCGTGTAGATGAAAGCTTCTTAGCTGCTGACAGTGCAGCAAGCAGGGCCAATAATGACTCTAAGAAGTGAAATAATTACATGCATCACCACAAATACAGCCATTCCTCACCTCACTGCACCCCCTCCCTCCCCGCTCTCTCTGGTGCTTTGCTCCTCACACAGTCCACTACAGACAAAGAAATACTCGATGCTACCAGCTACGTTTTAAAATGCAGTGGTTAATTGTTTTTTATTATTTTATTTTTTGCTGGGAACTGCTGAACTCGTTTCTTTCTGTCTCTATCCTCCCCATCTTTCCACCTGTCTCCAGTGTGCCAGGCATCCAGACCTGGCCGCGGTTTGGTTTTAGCAAGCCAATGGGCCATGCAGGCCTCTTTTTTTTTTCCCCCCACAGTGGACTTCTGAGTGGAGTCTTTGCCCTCACATGCGTTCAGTTGGGCCTCCTTTACCCACACTATTGATTGCAGGTGATGTTCTGGACTCAGTCCAGCTGACCTCGAAGGGGAGTCAGATACATCATTGTCCGAAGAGGAACCTCTGGAGGCCAGACAGAAGCTGCTCACGTGTTAAGCAATCTGACTTTGTCCAGCCGCAGAATCTGTCAACAAACGCTTTTGGACACGAGCGTCGGACTTGCTTAGCATGAACCGTTGCATTCAATGGAGAAACAAAAAAATAACATTGATGCTCCGCAGACAAACATTCATGCCTCAGCGAGTGTGTTTCCTGAATGACCATCCGTGCACAGCATGTTCCTGACTTCACCTTTTCCTTCTGCCTGCTAATTAGAAATCTTAATGTGCAATAATGTTAACATTGAGTCTAATTTCTACTTTGTTTCTTACACACCTCAGAGCAATTGATAGATAACCAATGAGACGCAGCGTGGCTGCCAAAGGGTGTAGCTCTGCAGCTTGTGACACATCGCTTAGGCTGTGGGAAGTACGCCTTAAATTAATTAACATCGGACCTCTCGTAGCTGCTCACTTCTGTAAACAAACATTTTAATACGCGGTAATTAATTAAATCTGCCAAGCTACTCTGCCCCTACCATAGATCTCCCTTCATTTGTACGTTCCCCATCGTGTTAAAGAGTTTATTATGTCTTGAGTGAGATGAGGAGTAAATTCACAACTTTGCGCAGCACCATTTCTCAAGGACATTTTCTATGTGATCTGTCATATGTAAGTATCTCCAAATCCAGCCAAGATTTCACATTTCATACGTGGTGAAAGAAATAAGGAGAAAATATAACTTGGCATTTGTGAATTGAACAATAAATGGTACGTCAGACCAGTCCTGTCCTACTTTAATAGCTCCGGGGTCCTGGCTGTGAGACAACAAAAAGGTACCAAATCCTCTTGGACTATTTTGACGGACCGCAATAAATAATGTTTGGTCTGACAGACAGTCCCAAATGTGTTTATTTGACATCCAATATACTGTACTTGTCTACTATGAGTGTGTGTGTGTGTGTGTGTGTGTGTGTGTGTGTGTGTGTGTGTGTGTGTGTGTGTGTGTGTGTGTGTGTGTGTGTGTGTGTGTGTGTGTCTTATTATATTGTCCAATAAGATGCTTTTATGAGATACTTTGTATTTTTCCTGCTGTTAATTTATGTAAAAATGAAAAGGCAGGTTTTATGCAGCCAAACGGGATCACAGTTTTCTGGCTCACAATGATGTTAAACACGATTACATGAGCAGCTAAACTGACTGTACTGCAAGTATAGACTCCCCTGAAGTAGATAAATAAAATCTGGGCAATGTTAATACTTATGTTAATTCTATAATCAGCAAACAGACATTGAGAGGAATCTGTAGGCTGACTACATCATAACAAACTGCCAAATATCCATGGATTACAATTTCTTTGGAGAGATTTCTTATTCAAGATGAATAAATTTAAACACCTCAACAAATCCCTCAAATTATTTACACTGGATAGTTTTGTATTTATCAGACATGGGGTGAAAAAAAAGGATTGCACGAGTTTATGGAAATCCACATCAGCGGGGAATAGATGCGGACTCAAGGGGCATCGCTGCACAGGTAAGCTGCTTTTGGAGGGTTCATGTAAATCCTAAAGTCCAAAAGTCAATTACTGGGGCATCTCAAGCGTGTGTTACTGAAAGACTCTGATGTTTTATTGAAGAGAGGCTTTAATTCATCAGGCTTCTCAGCTCCCTTTCATGCAACTTGCAGAGGGAGAGCAAGCACCTCCTTCAGATGGCCAGTGTCATATATCACACACACACACACACACACACACAGCAAGAGAGAGAGAAAGAACACACACTAATGCCCAAAAACAACTCTCAGGTGGTCTGCTTCACTCCACTGACCAGACCATTACCCCCTACACACACACACACACACACACAGTCCTCTCAGTGCGGACCACACAGACTAAACAAGAAATTCATCCATTCAGCATCCTCTGCTCTTTCTGTTTAAAATGAACATTTGAAACAAGCCAATGACAAATTTTCTACAAAAAAAAAGAAAGTCTGTCAGACTGTAACCACCCGCAATCTGCCGTTCACGTCCCTCGCAGCATTGCTGGGATTTCACATCTGACTAAGTGTTTTTTTTTTCTTCTTTATATTTGATCCACAGCAACTTGGTAGCTCATTTCCTCACAGCTGGTTTGACGTTTTGGGGAAGACGGGAGTTATTGTATTGTATCACACTGCACCTCTGTGCTTTATTCCCACTGGAATATCAACAAACAAACACTTTGCGTGCTGACACGGTCCCCATCACAACAGGAAGAGTCCACCGTCTCTAATGTCCCCACAGCTGGTTTGAAGGCTGTTGGCGGCATTGCCCAGAGTGAGGCAAGCAGACAGCTTATCTTTCCACTGTGATTAGCCAAACTGTGCTGCTCATATACAAATGGAAATGGGATGTGCATGAGTGTCCCCCTCTCCTTACCCTCTCTCTCCCATCTGTCAAGACAATAGATTTTAATCTTTAATCCATGAGCAGCCATTGAATAGTAGGGAATTACAAATTACAGATGTTTTACTGTGCGTCGCCTTTTTTGTCCCGTAACACCTCCTGTCCGCTGTCTGCCTCTCCGTTCAGGCCTTCAGCTACACCTGCATGATGTCGACCCACAAAGGTGTTCACACAATTGCCACCAACAAATGTGCACGACAGAGACAGGGAGAGAGAGACACACACACACTCCCATTACACACCCTCATTCTGTGCCATCATGGTGCCATATGACACTGTCATCATTTGGTAATTAAACCCTTGCTGGCTTTAAATATGAAAAGCTGGCACGGGTTGATGATGATGATGCTGGCTGTCGCTCAGCCCAGATTTCCGACAAACCGCCCAAACATATTGTCCCGATGTCGTCTCGCTTTTGGCCATCCGTTTTTTTTTCCACCCGAGGAAGAAAAGAAATTACACAAAACTATATTTTTGAAGATTCAATTACTGGCCAGCGGGTTAATGCTCGTGTGGTGGTGGATGACGTTGTTCAAATTGGCCTGAAAAAGGCTCAAAGACACGTGACTTGGGCCCTGCATGGTGCGGTGTGATAAATGATGGGCACAGTTACAGTGGCCTCCAAGTGAGGGGAGGAGGGAGGTGCCAGGGAGAGATGGGGGGGAGGGGGGGGGGGGGGCATGAAGGGGAAAGGGGGGGGGTTTATTTAATGTTCCGCCCGGGGGCCAGTGGGACACTCTTTTTTTTTTTAAATGGGGGGAGAGGAGGGCTGGGGGGGGGGGGGGGGGTTTGGGGGATGAAGGGGGGAAGTGGCGGGGAAAAATCTTTGGGGGCGAAAAAAAGGAAGAAAGGGTTCGAAAATAAACACTCCCCCATTAAACCGACTCCCCCCCCCCAAAACACACACACGCACGCACGCAAACACTCGCTACCTTTCAGCCCCCTGGCAATCTTGGACTGAGCAGATACCACTGACCAGTCTAATGGACTACGCCGTCAGATCTCTCTCTCCCCCCACAACGCCGTCCAGCCGAAATCACTCCTCTCCCTCAATTTTCAATCTGCCT